GCCCACTGTAGAAGCACTGCTCTTCCAAATGATACACAGGCTCCTTTTATACAACTCAGTCAGTCCAGGAGCCACTAACCCAAAAACATCTGCTTACCAGTGGATCTGGTAGCACCCATGCACACCACCTTGGTCAAAAATCACCATTTGGAAATACAAAATCATCACTTGCTTTCTCCAGAAAATTCCTGGGGGAATCCCATGAGCTTTTGCACCAGGAGACTACTGCTAAGGTTTCCTTACGCAACTATCCAGTTGGCCAAGCAGCTATTCATAGGCATAACAACTGTTGTAGCCAACAATCACTTGAGAGGTAGAGTCTATGCTGTCAGGCCTTCCAGAGGGGTTCAGTAATGGAAAGGCTTGCTTTATCAGACATTCTATGTCCCCAACTCTTTTTCTCAAAGAATTGACTGAGTTTGGAAATTTGACTAGGTTGTGGTATTCACAAACCCTGCTGATCAGAGGAAGGCAGTTTAACCCAAAATAAATCAGAGTCGAAACTCACTTTGTGCTCCACTGCTACTTGAGTTATGATGTTCACTGACCCTGCACTGACCCAGTTAAATGGGGTATGCAGAGCCTGTGTGAAGCGGTGGTTCTAGATGAGCAGCCAGTTGCAAAAATAATAGGAGGAGAGGCACTGCTACTGCTGCAGGGAAGAGTGCACAGGAGACACCATAGTGTGGGAAGGAGTGTGATGGTGGCATCAGCAGGGGAAGTAGCAGATCCTCCTCCTACCTCAGATGGTGGGTGTTTGGGGGCATCCCTGTATATAGTTTGACCTAAGGTGCTTAGTGTGCAGGTTTTGAAGTAGTGACTTTTCATATCAAAGCCCAAACTCTGATCTAGCCACTAATTTGTACTCTTTCCTTCAGGAGGTTTTGCTGTTCCCATCTCTGAATCCTCAGATTTTGGAGTTAAACTACACTGAGTGCAGAGGCCTCGGCAGCAAGAGTTACACAGCCTGCACAGAGACTTGGCAGCATTCTTTCTACACAATAGAGAAAAGCCTTCAGTACTTGGGATTTGGAGAGCACAGAAAGACATGAAAAGGCCTCCCTTGGCTGAAATGCTTAATAAAAGCTGGCATAGTTCAGATATTTTAATTTGTGTCTGGACTTGCCTCCGATGGAGGGAGAATAATGTCGAAGCAATGTTGCCCTTAATTGAGGCGTGTGAGTGCAGATTTTTCTAGGCATCAATGAATGCTCCACGTTGTGCACTGCATACTTCAGATGGCTCTCACCCTGACCTGAACTTTTAAGTACAGTCCAGGAAAAAAAAAAAAGAGTTGGAATCAATGTAAAAGAGTCACCAAACATTACATTTCAAATTAGGTCTGCAGAACAAGAGTGGCAATAAACATGTTCCTTGATCTTTGGAAAATACTTTCATTGATGGACTAATCTATTGCCACAAGTCTCGGTTGGTCTAACTGTAGTGCCCTGAATGGAAATGGCCAGATAATGGCTGCATATGGGCACAACATGCTATCAAGCAAGCTCAAAATGGAGGAGAAAAGAACACAATATGAAAAACTAGTGTCTTGGGATCTTGGGAATTTACCAAGCTTTCTGTGATGGCCTCTTTGTTGAGCCCTCCATTGTTAACAAAGAGACATGTTTCTTTAAGGAATTTATTTTTTGACAGAGCAGTGCTTCTAGTCACTCCAGACCAGTGTTTCTCAACTTTGGTAACTTTAAGATATGTGGACTTCTGGCTGGGATGCTGGCTGGGGAATTCTGGGAGTTGAAGTCCACATATCTTAAAGTTGCCAAGGTTGAGAAACACTGCTCCAAACAAACACCAATCTCCTATTCTCTCAGTTTGCTACAGATAGTTTCTGCAACTCACTCTGGTCCCCATAATTCTCAGTAGGAATTGATTCAACAAGGTGACATGAAAGGATACAGAGGCATTTGTGCAAGCAACAGCAACAAAATTTAAATCGACATTGATAGGTTAGAGAAACAGAAAATAACAAAATAAAACTTGATAGAGGCAGATGCAATATTCTTCAGTTAGGAAGAAGAAATCACATGTACAACTATAAGATGGTGCCACCTGGTTGGATACTGGTGTATGTGAAAAAGATTTTGGAAATGAAGTTGATCAACATCAATATGACTCAGCAGCATGTCATGGCTCTTAAATCAGCAAATAGAAACTGTTTCCATATCACCAGACATAATTGGTCCACTATATTTTGCACAGGTCAAACCCCACCTATGTCATGTTCTGTCCTGTCCTGTCCTGTCACTGTGAGAGTTAGACAAATTGAAGCAGGTGCAAGGAAGGACATTGAGGATGATCAGGAAGCTGGAAACAAAGACTTAAAAGGAAAAGCTAAGACAAGTAGATTGTCTAGCCTTGATAAAAGATAACTTAGGATGGAATATGATAGCACTTTTCAAGAACCTGTAAGGTTGCCACCTAGAAGAAGGTCAGCACTGTTCTCTATTGTACAAAGCATAGAATAATGGTCTTAAATTACAAGACAGCAGATTACAGTTGAATATTAATTTTAAAAAATTCTAATAGAAAAAGCAGGTCTGTAGTGGAACCAATTATCTAAATTGGCAGTGGGCTTCCTTTTGTTGTATGTTTCCAAACTGGACTGCCATCTGTCAGGGCTAATTTTTCCAGCTGATCCTATCTGGAAGAGTTGGCATGCTCCAGGTTCCTTCAATTAAACAATGACATTTTATCAAGACCCCAGAAGCGCGCCTTCTCTGTTGCAGTGCCTGCCCTTTGGAATGAGGTCCCCCCCCAAGATCCAAACGCCCCCACTGTGCTGGTGTTTCAAAGGGCCCTGAAGACATGGGTCTTCACCCAGGCCTTTGGCATGAGTGATTGAATCCCCCTTTTCTTCTTTTTCCTTGTTCCCATCTGGGTTAGTTATCTTTGCTAGCTTTGCTCTTTTTTGTTTTATGCTTTATTTATTTGTTTATTTATTTACATTTTGTAAACCACCCAGAGTCGCTGGGAGCTGGGCAGCATATACATTTAAATAAATAAATAAATATCACAGAATTAGAAAGGCTTTTAGTCCAACCACCTGGGTAGGAATCCTCATACCATGTCAGACAAATGGCTGTCCAACTTTTGTTTGAAAAAGTCCAGCATGAAGCATCCATGACTACAAGAGGCAGGTTGTTCCACTGCTAAATTGTTCTCACAGTCTGGAAATTCCTCAATTTTGAGTTTGAATCTTCCTCTGAAAAAGCTTCTATCCATTGGTTCTTGTCCTGCCCTCAGGAGCTATGGAGAATAAATTGACTCCTTCTTTCAGGTAACAGCCTTTCGAGTATTTGAAGACTGCTATCATATCTACCCTTACTCTTCTCTTTTTTAGGCTAAAAACACTCAGCTTCTTTAAATGTTCTTCATTAGATTTAGCCTCCAGGCCCTTCACTATCTTCGTCACTATTCTGTGTACTCTTTCCCATTCTTCTCATCCTTCTTATGTTAGGGCAACCAGAACTGGACACAGTACTCCAAGTCTGACCGGTGCAGCACAGACCGGTATTATCAGTCTAATCAATATGTGGCTTATCTCTATGTGTCTATTGATGTCTGATCAATATGTGGTCTATCTCTATGTCTCTACTGACATGTAGATAAACCACATTTACACACCATTCAAAAAAGACAATAAAAAAAGCTACAAAGGAAACAAAAAGACCAGAAGACATCCTCTCTACCAACCAACACCCAGATAAGCAGGGATTAACACCAGACAAACAACAAGCAGAGAACAATACTCTAATCAAGGAACTACCCAGGAAAAAACCACACCCCCACCAACACAGGCAGGGCAAGCTACTGCATATAAACAGGGAGCAAACCCCACACTCACTAGCACTGATGAAGTTACCTAGCTGGGTAATGAAACGTCTGCAAGCAAACAACCAAGCTCAGAGAGCACCAAGGGCTCCACGTTGCATTAGCTCTTTTGGGGGCTGCAGTACACTGCTAGCTCATGCTTAATCCGTGACCTACAAGAACACCCAGGTCCTTCTTGCAAATACTACCACCGAGCCAGGTACCACCTATCTTGTGCCTGTGCACCTGGTTTTCCCCACCTAAATGCAGTTCCCAACATTTCTTGCCACTGAAGTGCATTTTGTTGGATAGAGGCCAGCATTCAAGATGATCAAGATCCTTTTGAACCTTGAGCCTGTCTTCAGAGATGTTAGGAATCTCTTCCTGCTCTGTAGTGTCTGCAGATTTCATGAGCTCCCTTCCCATACCCTCATCTAAGTAACTTATGAAAATGCTGAAGAGCACTGAGTCGAGCACCACATGCTGAAAAGCAGCTTCCAGAGAAAGAATGAACCACTCCCTTTCTCTGCTCAGAAATAGCCATTTCAAAAGCTATTTTAGAACACCCCAACTCAAAGACATACAGCAGCACTCTATTTAATTTGCTGTTACTGTAAGTACTGAGGCAGTCACCGCAGTTCCCCTTGTTTTTAAATTTCCCCCTATTCCACTGACTAGATGAAGATTGTAAGAGCCTGTTGAATAAATCACCAAACTGCCAGCAGAGAATGCTAAAGATAATCTAGAATATGATGCCAGTGGTTAAGCGGTACCAAGGACTGATTTGGGACTGGTAGGTGCCTCAGGATCCAATATCAGCTGGTACATTCCTGGAGTGCAAGGTTTAGGGATAACTTGTGAAATTAAATTGTGCAGGCCGACAGTGTGATAAGATAGGGGAAGCCGGGATAACCAGGGAGTTGATGTTAAATATTCTAGCAACTCTGTTCAAAATCCAGACTAAACCTCCTTACCCTCCTCCCTCCCTCCTCTTGAACCAATGTAATCTCACAGTTGGGATTTAATTTTGCATTTCAGTTTAGAAATAGAAATGTAGATAAAATACGCATGAAAAGGCTAAGCTGGTCTTGAACTCTTTCAAACATTTTTTAAAAAAGACTTTTAAAGGACAAAGCTATTAGCTCACTAATGGCTAATTTTTTATAACTTACGTTTTGGTTGTTTTAAATGGTCATGCCAATTGCTGTCTTTCTCCTTTTATTCATATTGATAAACAGCATGGCAGTTTCTCCTGAAGTTTCAAAACATGGGCATCTGAAAAGAATATTTGCAGTCCTTTAGACTGTTAATAAAGATCTAGGAATGAAAGCTTGCATAGTTCATTCTTTATGACATATTAAAAGGCACATGCATATGTAAGAGAGTCCAAACACGCAATCTCCCACCTGTGGTTTGAAGTACAGTCATAATTCAGGAATGACTGTATGACTGTATATTTGCACATTCAATTCAAGTATAATTGTCATCTTTATATATAGCTCGCGTTTTTGGAATAGAGGACAAAAAACAGCAGGAGCTATATCTAAAGTCATCTGGGTAAGAAGATGGGGGTTGCAGTCCAAGATATCTGGAGGACAACCAGGTTGGAGAACACTGTACTTTCATCTTGGGCCAAGTCAAGTAAAATTCCTTCTGCCTGACAATAGATTCTGCAGTACAGCATCCTATTTTATACATGTTTCTTATGCTTTTTCTACTGCTTGTAACATGAACTGCAGTATGTAGCATCTGAGTGTTTATCTAATCTAGATAATGTTGCATGAACCTGTGGAACAAGTTTGCTAAAAAGTTGACCCCAGTTTATTTTTAGCAGAGTTAATAAAGAGACTGGAGATTATGTACACTACCATTAAAAGTCTTTAGAAGGATATGTTGCCGTAACAGGGCTCTAGTAAATATCTTTGTACTTAAAGCTTTTAAGTAGTTAAGCTTGGTCCCAAAAATGTTACAAATACAATCTGGACCATTTTAATCCCATTCCAGTAATGCTGTGCTTTTGATTTACCTTGAGATTAATTTGGGGACTAATGCTCCCGCCACCCCCAAAAGTACTAGAGATAATTAGAACTTTGATATAATACAGCACATTATCAAAACATTCACACCAAGATAGTTCCCTTTCACAGACCCATAAAATAGTGTCACAATTTATTTAGAAAGATTGGCAGGCAAGCAGGCAGGCAGGGCTGCATCTTTAGCTGATCATCCCTGCCCTAGCTGATGTGACATGGAAGAACATCTCTGATTGTGTGACCAATATCCCCAGTCAAAGGTGTGCAATATATTATTCATAGTACACAGATGGTCTCCCCACCCTTGTATATCATCACATTTGGCTTCTGATAAATATGACAGAAGGGAAACATTATTTGGTTTGATTTCACTTTTACTTCTTGTTTACTTCTTGTAAACTACTCTTGAGACATGGCTATCCAGCCACTTCTTAAAAATCTCCAAGGTGGAGAACTGACAACCTTCACAGGTAGACTGTTCCACTGTTGTACAGATCTTACCATCAGGATGTTTCTCCTTATATTTTTGAATGAAATCTAGGTAGCTGCAACTTATATCCATAATTTATGGCTCTAGTTTCCATGGAAATGGAATGTACCCCCCAACATGAATGTGGTACCTTTCATGTACAGAAATCATATCTCTACTATTTTCTCTAGATGAACAGCACAACTTTCCTTCAGGCTGTCCTTGTGGGGCATCTCCTTAAGTCCCTGTAACATCATGTCCTCCTCTGAACCTGTTCTAAACTTCTGGAAATGTAATTCCCCAGCTAAGTACCTGCTTTTTTGGAGGGAAATTAATTTGGGGAAGAGAGTGGAAGAAAAATGTTAAAGATCTTCTGCTTGAAGAATACTTTCCTGCTTTTGAAATAACTGATCTCCCACATTTTGCATGATTTTGCTCTGAATTAAATGTTGAAGCTCAAAAGAGCACAAGACAGAATGCAAATCAGATTAGTTACCCATCTAGTTCAGTATAGTTCAATTTATATCAGGGATGCACAATGTAAGTGGGAAAAGCAACGGCCAGTGAATGGAGCCAGAACAAAGAAGAAGGTGGGGCCAGTCACAAACTGGATTTAATTTTATCTTAACATAAATAATCAAGTATAGTTTTTATGAGTAGTCCCAGTGCATTTATCCAATACATAAAAATTCATTAGCAATTACTTGGCAGAGTTTTTGAGGCTGCACACACTCCTGGGACCTGAGATATTACATAGGCCAATGTTTCTCAACCTTGGCAACTTGAAGACGTGTGGACTTCAACTCCCAGAATTCCCCAGCCAGCCATGCTGGTTGGCGAATTCTGGGAGTTGAAGTCCACACGTCTTCAAGTTGCCAAGGTTGAGAAACACTGACATAGGCCCTTGAATTACATAGAGCAGCCAGCCTTCAAATGTATGGCTTTTGACTCCCAGACATATTGCCACAGCCTTCCCCACCCTGGTGACATACATTGTTTTTCTATTTATAGGATAAGGATTGTTTCTAGGCTTGCATCTATATCTATAAATTGGCAATCTGCAAAGTCTTTTGCTCTTTGTCTTGTGTTTTCCTTCTTATAGCAAGGCCCTGATGGCTGAGTCAATGGAAGGATTAACAAGGAATGACCAGTAGGGGTAAAAAAGCATTCATTGGGGAGGCCAGTTAAATCAATTGAAATTACATGTCTTTGCAGTTTTGCAGCATTTGATGTGATCAATGATGAAGCAGAGCGTCAGAAAATAAAACAGCAAATTCACCATTTACATTTCTAGCAACTAGCTATTGATAGGAGAAAAGAAAACTAGAATCCAAAAAACTTCAGTTAAACTGTCTCAGACAGCTATAATGTAGGAAAAGGGCTCTTCAATTACTTTTGCTTGTTGGCGAACATTTTCAAGGTCAACTTTTTAATATATACGTATTTCCGTTTCTGTTGCTGTTGCTGTTGCTGTTTCTATTTCCATTTCTATTTTCTGTTTTTTATTTTCTTTTTCTTTTTTCTATCATCTTCTCTTTTTTTTCTATTCTTCTCTTTTTTTTCACATTTACTATGTTTTTTCTTTTCTTTCTTTTTTTCTTTCTTTGAATGTATTTCTTATTATCTATGTAAAATATTTAATAAAATCATTTTTAAAAAAACAAACATTTTCAAGTTGGCAAGCTTTTGCTATTGTTGTTTTTGTGGCTTCGTAAGCCAAACAGTTACTTAACATGTACATATTTGAATAGGAAACTAATGACACATAATATATGAAACCAGTTCAGTACAAATAATATCAACAGAAAGTAGAAATCACGGTAAGACCCACCTTATCAAAACCACACTATGCTCAGTGTTCCATAAAATGTGCATTGCTCATCAGTCAAATGCAAGCTAAATTCTAAGCGTGTTTCTCAAATGTGGAAGTTCTTTGCTCTTGTATTGCTCAGTTTTATAAGTTTTAACTGATAATTTTTATTGTGCATATTCTTAGGCATTCTCAGGCATCTAAGTAAATTATTTAAAAATAATTGATCAATCATTTGCACCCATTTGTTCACAACCTCTCTCATTTGTATTTTACTTCTGTTTGTGCCCTTGCCCTTTCTGCCTCTCCCTTCCCTTCCCTTCCCTTCCCTTCCCTTCCCTTCCCTTCCCTTCCACCAGAGCTCCCTGATGGCTACATATGATTGGGGAAGGGCT